GAAATTCTTTCGTTTGATTGCATAAGGCATGAAAGATTTTTTGATAGATTTCAACATAAAACAATACAAACACTCATTCAACTACATCTCACTCACACACATATATTTGCATGTACATGCATATGTAAGCTAACTTCTCTGTTTATCCAAGAAAGAATGCAATGAAATGCAATGAAAATTTGTATCGTGTAAAAATGAACAATGATCTGATGTTGAAGGATTTCTGTGAATATCTTTCACTGTAGCTTCAGTGATATGGTAAATATTCTGTGTTAGTAATTATTTGTGATCTGTGTTTGTTTGTGGCTGTATATATATATCATATCAGTCTACAGAATGGTGTGTGTCACTGCATGATGCTGTCAGGGAATATTAGTAATACGCACATTGATTTATTTGTCGCAAGCACTATTATGGTCTCGAAAAAAAGTGGGTTAATTTTCTTCAAGCTAGTACATGTGAACTTGAACAACAGATTGTCTCTTGGTATTATTGACTCACTTTATGCTTCTCTGAAACAGGTCAAAGAACATATGTAAGGAAATATTCTTTATCTATTTCAGTTTCTGCCAAAGGAGTTTAGTCCTGTGAGAGTTTTGCAGGTTTACATTAAGGCTATATTGCAGTTTATTTCTGAACTTGCCCTTAGGCGTGAAGCACTGCATTCGATCAGTATCTGGCAAGTAATGTGAAAACATGAATGACTGCCAAATACTTGATGCAATTCAATTAGGCTTCGTTCACATGCAATGTCTATTTTCTAAATTCTATTTTCTATTCGCGCTATCTTATGATCACAGTCTGTGCACTGAATATCCCGCCGCGTAATTACTGGCAGCGCGAGCCAGTTACTTATAGTAACTTATAGTAACTGGCTCGCGCTGCCAGTAATTACGCCGCGGGACATTAAGGGCACAGAGCGTGATCATAAGACATACCGCGAATAGAAAATAGAATTTAGAAAATAGACATTGCATGTGAACGAAGCCTTAGGGAGTGCTGGGGGTGTGCAGTCCATGGCACCCTAATCACTGAGTGTGGTAGAGGTGCCGTCTTAGCACAATTTATTGCTCAACCAATACTGATAGCATTATTAATGTTTTTTGATACAGACTTAGTACTCGTGATTTTGGTTGTTATTATTATTGCGATTAATTGTAGATAGGAATCTAAAAAATAAAAGAAAGGAAAAAAAGAAAGAAAAAGCAAATAACTTGTGCAATAAAAAGTTAATATTTGTTTTAGATTTCTCAACATCTATACTTGTCCAAATGTTTTTTTAAAGAAGTGCAATAACAGTATTTTTATGGTTTATAATGTGTAAAGATTGTGTAAATCTTTGACTTTCTAAAGCTGCTTAATCCCTACATAATCCTCCTTGCATTGGCAGTGTTCTTTAGTATGACATAACATGCCAGTTTTGTGGTTTCCTCACTGCCGTGTCAGTTGCACAGCTTTATCCTGTACACATAGAAAACATGACCAAATAAAGCCATTACCTGGAGAAATTAATGTCCTGAACTTTAAAGGTAGAAGAAGAAAAGTAAATTCTTTGTTTGCGTGCTTTTGATTCAATTTATTTTAGGTACTTTAAAAAGTATGAGCAGTTTGTCAAATTTAGGGCCTCTGATTTATTTTATATCACTGTAATTTACTAGTAATTATTTTAATAATGAAAATATCATATTAATTTAATTGAAATTTTGATTGGCTGAAGTTCAACAGTCATTTGGCTAGAATACATTTTACCCTTTGGGAATGAACTGACATTTGAATCATGCCCATTAGCTGATGAATTTTGTAAAAGTATTTAGTGGTAATAAGGGTCTGTATCAGATATTAGTAAAAAAAGATTCCTAAAAGAAAAATCTACCATGATTAAGCCAACTTTTGTATGTCAGTAATGAGAGAGACCTAATATCAGCATCATTAAAGAAATACCTTTGATTGAAACAGGGTCATTTATTACATGGAATGATGAATAGCAGACATAACCCACCCCTTTGAAGTAAGGTTGAGTTAAACAAATTTTCTTTCTTCAGCCCCAAAAATGTTCAGATTTGGGGATGGGTCCTCCCTGCAAGCTAAGGTACATACTTGTGGTTCTTTTTCCTGTAAATTGACACCGTGCTCTGGTCAAGTTTCTTTATTTTTAATCACAAGGTAGTCTACCTCTGACACAACAGCAACACATCATGTGCCTCTGTGGTCACAGCAGGTCTCAAATGATTAATAACTTTTTGTGTAGCCAAGTATCTTGTTGTACTTGCCTTAGCAAAGAAATGAACCAAATAAATGCTACCTTAAGCAAAAGTTGTCAAATATTTGAAATAATCTGTGGATAGTTTAGTATATAGCTGTTGTGTATCATACAGTAATTCTGTGTCTACCGGGACATGACGAAAGTTGCTGGCCCTCTTCACATTATGACAGCTAAACCCCAGCATGTGCTCGTGTGCACGCACGCACGCACGCACACACACACACACACACTAAATCACACACCCACACTGTCTGGTGCACATACACTTTGACAGCAACCTATACAATGACTCATAGTGATAAATATGACCATATTTATTGACAACTAATCTTTTTAAAAATATTAACGGAATAAGATTGATATTAAAACAGACCTAAATCCTTGCTATTTTTTTATTTTTTGTTTTGTTTTTTTTAAATTTTTAAGAGAAATATAAATCCAGTATGCAGTATTTCAAGTACTAGTAATAGTACTAGTAATCTAAAGGGTTATGCTGTAGTTATAGAACTCTAGTATTGCTTTGTAAAATCAATATAATTGGACTACTGCTATTTTCAAGAAGCTCAGACATTAAAGTGCTGCATATAACATTGATGTACACAACTTAATATTGAAAATGCCATTCCGAATGATCCCAAGAGCCTTTTCTTTGTTGAGAATTATCAAATTCTTCATCAAATAATTCAGACCTGTGAAAAAGACTCATAGGAATGAAATTCAAGCATCTGGATGCAGGCACCTGATTGGCCAGAGTTTGAAATTTCAATTTAAGAAAGGCAAAAAGTTAGCGTCTCTTTTTAAAATGTTTAAGCGGCAGTTGTAAGGGAGTGGCGCGGGTGTAGATCCAGGCACCAGGGAGTGAAGGAAAGATGGGACAGAGGCAAAAGCTGAAAACTAGGAGAGGGAGAAGGGGATGAGTTTGCAGTTTTATCAAGCCAAATGTGGTGTCTTAGTGGATACTTCATTTAGAATAAGATGCAATGGAGGAGACTGCTCAGTGCTAGTTTTTAATGACTAAGTAACAGACTATTTTTCCAAAAATGAAGAGAATGCAGAAATGGTAGGCTAGTATGAATACCGATGGTTGAAAGTCCATGCAATTTTCAAAGCAAGCAAAGTATTGGGCATCGTGAGGGTTAGAATGTTGCAGCTGAAAATATTTTAGAGCAGTTATTTATAAATGTTAGGTTGTGCAATTTTCAGTAAAATGTGAATCAAAAACATTTCTTAAACAGGTAGTATGCAAAGTGACTGAAGCACATTGGGCAAGTTTTTTTTCTTTGCACTGGTGGCAGTTGAATATATATGAATATTTTCTATTACTTGTGAATTATGAATTTTTTGTAAATTTACATATAACACATTTTAAAAAGTTTATTACAAGCACACAAAGTAATGTGACAGAGGGTTTGTGTGACATCTCTTTAATGTTTCTTTCTCTTCTCTTCCCTTCCAGTGTCCCGCCTTCACTGCGAGTCCGAGTCCTTCAAGATGGACCTCATCCTGGACGTCAACATTCAGGTCTATCCCATGGACCTTGGTAAGGAGAATTAATTCACTTGAAGTATCTCTTTTATGTGAAGGCTGGAAGCGGGAGGGGCGGGGTGAGGTGGGGCGGGGGGGGCGGGGCGGGGGGGGGGGTGGGGGTGGGGGTGAGAGAGTATGCAGCTAAGATAAGGTGGCTTTAGTACTAGACTTAAAAACAATACAGAGCAACTATTGAACATTATGAGGGCAGGGTGGTAGGCTGTTGGTATTGATTTCTTCCTGGGCATTATTTCTCCCCCACCCCCCACCAAAAGGAAACTGACCCCTTTCTTCCTTCTTTTTACTTACAACCCAATATCATGCCTAAGTTGTTGAAGCAAGATTCTAGCATTAGGGAAGTAAAATATGGATTGGCTGGAGATAAAATAGTGTGATAATTATGTCATACTCAAAGAAAGAAAGAAAAAAACTGAACCTATTGACCACATCTTGGAATACCAGAGATATTGAGTGATAATCTCTTTTGTGTTGTGACTATTTCTTTTATTGATGAATGTGGCATGTTATCTTGTACCTTGGTTACAGAGTAACCAAATTATTGGAGCTCATGATTTATTTCTCATGAATACTTAAACTGAGTGATTCGTGTCTCATGCATATCTACATGAAGTGTGCAGTATACTTTATTACTTTGTATTGTATTTAAATTGAATATATATATATATATATATATATGTTTAATGTGGCATAATTTGACCTATGCCCAGAAAACTTTTTGTTATCTTGAAACACAAAGACAGTTTGAAAATGTCTCTTGGGAAGAGGATACTCCCACACATCCAGATATCAATTTAGATAAAGAAAGAATTGCAAAAAAATGTGTACACAAATTGATTGTTTTGAAAATAACTGTTGTTTTTAGTATTTTTCACAAATGTTACCTTTTGGAATATTGAAAAAGAGAACTGTAAAACTCAAGTAATCTTTAGTACCAAGTGAACCTTTCTCCATGGTGTGTCTGGCTAATGGGTAAGCTATGTATGCATAAGTTCAATGTGAACACGCCTTGTCACAGTTGCCTTCTGGGAATGTTTTTCCTTTTAAAGCATTTTCTACTTTTTCAAATGAAAATGAAATATAAGAAAGTTATGGGAGTTTCAGTAAACTGTTCAGGTTCATAGCTGATCTAGAAAGCAGAGGATCTTTCTTCTCACTTTCATTTATTTCACTTTCATTGTTGGTTTACAAAATGTCATACCTTGTAAACAAAACCTCTGAGGAAGCTGTAGCCAAGGACGGCTGGTGTCCAGATCCAGTTTCCAGAGACTGCGTAGACAAGGTCTTATGTGCTGTGTGGTTATTGATTTTCCAAAAATGAGGTTAATCGGTATTATCATCATAGAAGTTCTGTTTTCTTGGTACTGCGTAGTTATTGTTATTGTCACTCTGATCTGGCATTTTGACTTGCTATAATTGAAAGTATGATAAAGGGGGTGGGATCTCAGATATAAATTGATATCATTTTAATTTAAATGCACAAATTGAAGAAAAATAAATTGAAAGAAGTGATTTATCTAAAATTGAATTCAATAATGATACATTTTCTTCATTTTCAAGTTTTTAGGTTTACTTTTTCTTCTTTTCTTTATTATATTTCCAAACTTATTAAATCAGTATGTGCCAAACAATTCCAAGCAAAATGATATTTCTGATCATGATGGTTGAAGAATCTACTGACCCATGGCAGAAATAGCGGCCAGTAAATGAATAAATTTAGTAGATGTTACTGCCATGGTTTCAGTTTTGCTGGTATTTGGCATAGCGCCAGTGTTCTCTGACAGTTATTATTAGGAATTCTTAGAAATGGGCAATGAATGTACACTGTTTATTCATTCACTAGACGGACAGATGCGCTTTATAAGTGGTGCCAGGACACGTAGCTGACTGACAGAAACGGTGTATCTATCACGTCGGACCACAGCGCAAAATAAAAAACTTAAAGAGATAAGTTCTAGGATATCATCCCAGGTTTCTGTATAGATTAAAAGATGGACCAACAAACGCCAACTCATTGTTGACTTTTCCAAGATGGCATGTGCCTCCTGTCACATCACGGGCTGATATGGGGTCTTCCCATTGTGTATCATGGGCTGATATGGGGTCTACCTGTTGTGTATCATGGGCTGCTTAGCCAGATGATTGGCACTTCTTTGATTTGATGAACTTGTTGGGATATTACTATTGTTTCTATAGACAGAAGATAGTGGTTGTGTTTACTGTTTTGTGATAGTACATGGGCTGCCAGTGTAATTTTAATACAGTCCCAGTTAGAAAATTGCCCTTGTTGAATAATTATAAAATATGGTAACATTCTCTTTACAAGTATATTTAAAACTGGTATATTTTTTTCTTACCAGAACATGGAAGTAATGTTGTTTAGCAGGTATTTGCTTCATAATCATTTCCTTTGTTAGCCATACACAATTATTCCTAAGTGTTTCAACAGATAGATATGATTACCTTGTCAGTCTTGATATTATCAGGTATCAGTCTGTTTATTTGACAGCATTTGCTGACTTACTGCAGTAATCTACTGTTTTGTATCAGTGGCTAAGATAGCTGTTTAGAATGGAGTTTAGTGAGTTAGTTTTGATGATAAAGTTGATCTATTTGGACACAATTGTCATTGTCCTGAGAGGTCAACATGAGTTTTCTGTGATATATATTTAATTGGTGAAATGAACTCACATATCAGTTTCTGTCAACCTATGTGTACAGGACAATATATCCATTTGATAAGATTGACCTGACAGTGATTGTCCCTTGTAAATGTTATATGAATCAAGATATGAGGTTCGACAATAAGGTGCTACTGTTTCTACATGTATCAGTGCACGTCATTTATAAAGCTGTCCCAGTTCTGTAGTTAACATCAAACTAGATATGACTCCATTGTCAATGGGCAAGTGCTGTCATAACTTATCACCTGTTTTAATTATGAAATATCACTCCAGATATGTATGTTGAGTGATAATAATGAATTGTTTGAACTGCTACATGGGGTCAATTAAGAACTCCACCAGGGCCCCGTAACTCGAAAGCATCGCGTATTGCATAGAGACATATAGAGACTACAATGCACTATATGGGATGAGTATGGGCAAGTTATATGTAGAACCGAGATGCTTGCGCTCCGATGCATGATGCTTTCGAGTTAGGNTCCAAAACTGACAGAGATAGGTAGTTACTATTGAACTTGAATAAGAAGTCATACACTGGCAATCGAAATGTGACCTTGAAATTGACCTTTGACCTACTTTTTACCATGAACTGAACTTTGCAAATTTTGCTTCACTTTCATCTCCCAAACTGGCAGAGATAGGTCCATAGTTACTATTGCACTTGAAGAGGAAGTCATATACTGGCAATCTAAATGTGACCTTGAAATTGACCTTTGATCTACTTTTCACCATGAACTATACAAGCCCAAACTAATTTAGACCACTTTTCAACAAAATCACAGTTCAGAATTTATAAAATTCTTCTATCTCCATACCTACCAAACCTCTTAAAATTAAAAATCATATCATATAACAGAAATCATTACTGCACTCCCCACATTCAATCACAACACTCAAATGATGTCCTACCCCCCTTCCCACATTTTTCCCATACAATTACGCTTACTCCAGCTGGTGGTACAATGCCAGGAGGCGGTATCGCCTCTCTGATCCTCTAGTTGACCATGTTACCTGTTGTGCAAGATTAAAATTCAGTGTTGACTGACAGCGCTATTATAAGCATTATTTATTATTGCATCAGAATTGACAAAATGACCTTTTTTGCATCTTTATTTTCTGTTTTTTGTCTGTACATTTGACAGCTTTGCTGCCTTGTTTTCTTTTTCAAATAAGTCATATTGTGTAATATTATTCTGTGTTGTTGTTAAAGGGATAACTGTTTGTATGATATCCATATTTACTAATAAAAATATTGTAAATAACTCCTAGAAATATAACAAATTTTGTTTTACCACTAAAATGGCAGTCAACACATTTATTAGTACCATCAACCTGTAAGCTGTTGGTACTCCTGGTTTTAGTCCCGACCCGTCTCGTACACCTCCACCAGCTCTGTGTTCTGGCGCCGAATACAAGTCACCATTCTCCTCCTAGACAGCAAGGACCCATGTCCCCATCTCTTAGATTTAGGTCACATATAATCTCAACTTGAATCCCCCCCCCCCCCCCCCCCCGTTTTTATGTATAGACACAGATGTGTCTGTACATATTGCCGTCACCTGCGTCTGTCGTCGTCGCTGTGCACTTTCAGCGTTAACACGATAAGTGGAAGACAGTTTTACTTTAGCTTTATATTTACAGAGCTGATGAATATTCATAAAACGCGGGTCAAGTTTGAAAATCAGCATGATCGGGCCATTATTGTAGAAGTTATGCTATTTTTTCACTTTTCAGCATATATGCAACACCGTTAACACATTTCAAGGAAAACCGATAGGCCTGTTGTCATGAAACTCATAGCATGAAAATAAAAAAAATAAAAGACTTTAATACTCAAATAGTCTGCTATTCTATACCTGTCTACAAGACACTTAAAACCTAGCTCTTGGCAGCATTGTGTTAATTTGGACCTGTGCAGAAAAAGAGGAATTTAAAATTCCTTGCAAAATTCTTTCCAGTATCTCCAAAGTTTCCCTCGTGTGCTTCTGTTTGCTAGTGCAATGTCAACAGGTCAACAGGGAGGTATACTGTACAACCTGACCGCCTATTTGGTCTGTCACCAAGGCAATAAACTGTTTGATGGAGTTCCTAGTCAGACTGGTGGGGTTCATGAGGGTCAACTGACTTAGGTCAATGAATTTTTAACTTAATGTACAGGTAATTGGGAATAACTCAGAAATGCATAAAAGAAGAGACCTCTTCTTTTAAATAGTCTCTGAAGATCATTTACAAATGTTGCAGCAGCCCCGCTTTTGACTGTTACGACTCTGTATTTGGCAGGTGCCATTTTTGTTTTTAAAAATGTTCTTGAAACTAAGGAATTTTGTTTTTGTAGGCCAATATCCTTAACAAGCTATTAATATGAAAAGAAGTCCAGGGAGGGGTTTCAAAACAACAATTAATGTCGATAAATATGGCCTCAAATGTTTTAATAATGACTGTTAGTACACAGGTATAACCAAACGATTTGTACCATGCTTTGGTTATTGACTCTTAGAAATTTAAAGTGAAAAATGCAGTGGTAAGACAAGTAGTAAGACGTTCCAATTTCAATAAAAAGAAGGGGATTTTTAAAGCTAAAATTTATTTACATACTGAATAAAGTTATTATAAAGATGTAAAATCTCTAAAATAGAGGTAAGTATGATCAATATAAAAACTAAAAAAATAAGGTCAATATTCTGATTATATATATATTCACAAAAAATAATACAGGACATTTACAACACAATGAGAGACAAAGACACCTTCCAGCTGCCATTCACACACTGAAGTTCTTACAAATGTGGGTTAAAAATACATGTATAAATTTTTTAAATAAAAGAATCTCAGTACATAGTTAATAAAAACTTGTCTAGGCTTGATTGATCCAGCAGATGGCAGGCTGCTTGATATCCTAGCTGGCCAAAAGGTTAAACAAACATACTTTACTACAGTTGAATAGCCAAATGGAGCTTTTGTACCCCTTTGGGACTCCTTCCACAACTGTGGCATAAATGAATTGGATCTAACTCTCACAGTCATCTTGTTAAGAATAGCACAACACTGAACCCAAAAGCCAGGTGGGACAATCCAACATTTTAATGACAACATTTAAAACTGACAAGTCTATAAAAGCCCAGATAGGCAGAGTGAAGAAATACCGCAATATTTACGTCTCCTATGCGGTAGCTGGTCTCACAGATACAGAATTCCAGACCAGCTTTACAGAATTGAAATGTTTCTTGTTATCTCTGTCCCCACTCTTTACCAGTGACAACTACGACAAGTTACTGATTGTTCTACTTTATGCAGCAGGTAAGATGTGTACAAAGATAGCGTTTAGTTATGAAAATGTACACATTTTGTTAGTGGAATTCAAAAGAAAACATAATATTGATAATAGAAATTAAGTTCATAAGTAATTTATTCACCTCTGTTTGTTTGTCACCAGCGTAACACATGAAGGATATTGTCACTTTTCCCCAAAAACTCTTTATTTGCTGCCTTACATACACTTTCTTGGGAAATATATAAAACGTCAATGTTCAGCGACTAAATAAATTAACATGTACATCATCTAACGCATGGGCGTAACTAGGCATACGCACGGATGCACTGTGCGTACAGTTTTTTGGGCAACCATGATATTGAATTATTTCATAGAAATTTAGTGTAGTTTTCACTGAATATAATGAAAAATCCTCTGCGAGTTAAAGTCACCTGTGTGTACACACCCTCTGTGTCAATTGTATGTATACGCATTGTACACCATTGTTCTGACACCCCATCATGCATACTTTTATTGAACTGAGGTAAACAATGCCTGTTACCTTTACAAGTCCTATCTTAATCTTCCATCTAACTGGAACTTCCTTTACCTCTTAATCGGAGTGTTAAGTGGCCTTTAACCCTCCTGTAGCCTTTGTCTTCAGAGTATCGAACGCGCACTCACTGGCGATATTTATCTCAGGAAAAAGTCTACCTGTGCGTTATTTTCAAAGAGCAGCTCCAGCAGACCTGGGGGCACTAGATAAAATCTGGACACCAAGTTTAATAAGAGGCTAGAGAAGCAAAGGAAGAATTTTTTCCTTCAAAGCTTCATAGGAATATTAACACAGATTTCCTAGCAGGCAAATTATGTTGTTTTGACGTTGAAACAACGTTGAACCATAACGTTGAGAAGACTTTGGATAAACGTTGGATTTGAAAGTTGTGTCAACCTCAGATAACAACGTTGTATCAATGTCAGAAACCAATGTTATATCAACCCCACCCAGCGGGAAATTAGCCTGGATGTGTTTAGCAGTAGGACATGTTTGATGGCTATATATTATTATTATATATATAAACCTTGGAAATTTTAACTTAAAGGCCATACATAAATACCCTACATACATTTAGCCATCAAACATGTCCTACTACTAAACACATACAGGCTAAAAGGGTGTACCATGCTTAGGTGCAAAACATGCTTAGGAGCTAGATGCATTGAAAATATCAGACAAAGCAGGCACTTGGATGTTTTTACAGTGTACGTTATAATTGTGTACCTGTGTTTTGTACCAAAAATAAAAACATTACTTGTCATTTTAATGTCTTTTCATGCAAGAATGTTGTCTAACAACTGGGGTTGATACAATGTTATTATGATATCTGACGTTGATGCAACATTGATATCTGAGGTTGAGTCGACTTTCAAATCCAATGTTAATGCAACGTATTATCAACGTTATGGTTCAACGTTGTTTCAATGTTAAAACAACATAATTTGCCAGCTGGGTAGTGTTTATTTATGAGCATGTAGACATAATATTAATGGAATTTAAGTAAAATATAATATTGATGGTAAGGATTTAGTGCACAAGTAATGCATTAACCTCCGTTTGTTTGTCACCAGAGTAACGCAGTAAGTAATCAGTATGGGTGGATTTTGTTGAAATTTTCATGATACATCAGAGATGGGTTTCCGTATAAGTTTTTTAAAAATTCTGGTGTTAATATGCAATACCATTTGCCCTCCACCTCTTTAGATATTCTTTTGCTTCTTTTCTGCTATCGCCTCACAATTAAATATCATCCGCAAACATCATCATTCACGGGACATTTTCCATGAGTCATTTCGTCAATCTGAAGCAATATCATTCGTATTACCAGGTGAATTTAATGAACGGCTTCGCCGATTGTGTGAAAATGGTAAGATTCCAGTGTACCGACAGCGAGTAGCTATTGTTGGACCTTACGGTGTGGGAAAGACTCATCTCGCCAAGCGCCTCATCCATGAGGAATATATCAAAGCAGAAGATGCAAATACAACTGGCGTGAATATATACCGTCATAGGTGTGTTGTCCATAAAGCTGGCCGATCCTGTTGGATAAGAGGAAAAGGTAAACAGAATATAGGAAAACATTTGGCACATATGGAATTTGTTTATAAAGAATACAAAGAACAGAAGATAAGACATTTTCAATTTTACCGCATAACCCACAATAAGTGTATGTGTGGGTGTCGAAATGTGTCCTTCCCTATCTTAGTATGGTAGACGAGGGGCTGAGTAAAAAAGTACCTAAATAAGTGGTGCCTTTGAATTGTTATCAATCAATTGACATACATGACACTTTACAATCTACTACTACAGCCCACTGATTATTTTTTAACTGGGTACAAACACGATAATTTCATTCTCTGTAAAAACACCATGCTTTATTATACTAAATATTGAATTGAATTTTTCAACGGTGTAGCCTGATACGTACACTCAGAAAAGGTACATTTAGATACAACGCTTGATCTACCTGTATGATCCTTCCAACTATTCTCAGATGATCCAAAAGACCAGTTTGCACAAAATATGGCAATTGGAGTACAGAATTCAGATACGTTTTGTGAGCCGGACTTAACAGTATTGGACCAAACGCCACTAGAGGAATCCCTACCAGATACAGAAGAGAATATTAATAACGTGCTGACAAATAGAGGTATTGTACATGATTGTCTCTAATAGTTCATCTTGGTGCAATTTAAGCAGATATTTGTAGTTATTCTTCTTTTTTGCCAAGAGATTCCACCTTCTATGTGTTTTTCGTTGGCCATTCCACATATATATGTTCCTTAAAGACGTTTTTGTTTACTTCAAGGTTGAGTCTTCTGTTAGAATGGTGTTTGATATTATTCTTTTCTTTATTCTACAGCCGCTCCCCCTGATGACAGTGAATCACCTGCCTCTCCTGACAAAGCAGCAGGTAAGTAGTTCACATGTAGTAAAACAAAATTCTCGTGTATTGCTCAGAGATGTTCGAGAGTTTTTCTTAGCTTGTCGATTAGGTATGTGAGTTTCTATCTTCTTATTTTCATCAAACTGGGACTTAGAACTCACACGGGCATGAAGCCCAGTGGTAATCAAATTTTCTAAATGTCCATGTTTTTAATAGAAAATAATTAAAATTTCATCGTATACAGTTGCCCATTATGTTATATTGCATCAAAAACCTACTTTGTGCACTATCACCATAACGTTATAAAAAGAAAACTGTTACCTATTTTATATTTACAAAAAAAAAAAAAAAAAATGATTCTTAGGATTGACAAACAGCTCAAATTAGTAAACCAGCTCTTTTGCATTATCCTTTTTATCGAATTATGCATTTTTTGTGAAATTTTTATTTATCTCATTCTGGTGTGAGCTTGAACTCTTATGGGCCTGAAGCCTTATGCTTTTACTTACATCGTTATATACTATTGTGCATAATTAAATTTTGAGGTTGACTGTGCAGTTAAGCATTGTATTACATTAGAACTGACAGCCTCCTATTTTGTGCATTATTATTTTCTGCTTTTTTAAAATTGTGACTTAGATATTTCATGGGCCTGAATACCTTTGCTAGTCACATTTGGGTGACAAGCCTCTAATCTTCCATTGGGTAACTACTAGCAAAATTCAGAACTATAAGGTCACTTGCCTAAATTAAGTTTCAAGTGGCAATTAAATGAGATTATATAAAACACACATGTTGAGATTCCCTGTAAACTCCCATAGGTTAAGTTCTCTGCCAGATAACAGTGTCCATAATAGGGAAGCAGTGACAATTATGCAGATAAATGTTGTTTAATTTTGCAAATAAGTTTTCAAAAAATTATTTTGTATAATGCCAACATTAATGCTAGTTTGAAAAGCAGCTTTACTGGAATGTTTTGTTTTTAATTTTTTCAAACACTGAGGGTTTCAACTCAATTTTTAACCCCCCTCCACCTGAAGTTCTGCACATTTTCTGTTTTCCCACATAAGCAGTTGTATTGGTATTTATGTATTTCAACATTATGTAACATTATATTATTCTATGCACCGTTTCATATGTCAAATATTGTGATTTTCATTATGTGAATTTGAACTCTCGTGGTCCTGAAACTGTAATGTTATCATAGGGGCAGATTGGGATTGTCCTCAAGGTTTTCAGGAAGACGGTCAGATTTTAAAGTTTACATTGACGGGTATCTATTTTTTTTGTTGGAAGACCATCTAAAATGGAGGGTGGATTAACAAAGATATTTTAAAATACTGTCAGAAAATACATTTGGATCCGCTCCTGTTATTGACCATGTTACCTGTTGTGCATGACTTAAATTCAGTGTCGATTGACCTTGCTATTACAAGTATTATTTATTATTGCATCAAAATGAGAAATTAACCTATTTTTTGCATCTTTATTTATTTATTTATTTTGTCTGTAGACTCGTCCTTCAAGAAATACATGCCTTCAAGAAATCCACGAAAACTGGAAGTGCATGTTTTTTGCACTGTTTTTCCTGTCATGCCCATTGTAAACACTGTGTTGTCAAGTAAAATGAAGCGTCTGATACAAAGTATCAAACCCGGCATTGACGTGCTTGCTTGCGATGTGTTCAGTACACTTTGTTTACACTGAGAATTCGAGGTCAGGAATGCACAGTGTTTTTCTATGTAATTACGCAGTTTCAATTTTGATTAGTGAATTTTCTTTTATCTGCATGGTCATTTTCCGAACATTTGTATAAGCCACGAAATATTTCTCATCGGAAAATCTCCCAGCAGCTTTCCAAGTACAAGCGAGTGACGTCATGACGCACTTCCGGTTTTCGTCAAGATCTTGAAGGGATTAGCGTTACGGTTTGCTGCACATTTAAAGCGTTCTGTCTCAAAATGTACTTGACTGCTTGGATTGAAATTTACAGAACTTATTCTTCACATGATATCACACATATGTGCTTAATTTTAAAGCTTTAGCTGTTATATATTTTCTATGGTGCCCATTCAAAATTGAAAAAGAGCTATTTTCCGTCGATTTCTTGAAGGGCAAGTCTACATTTGACAGATTTGCTGTCTTGTTTTATCTGGGTACAAACATGACAATTTAATTTTCTTTAAAATAAGTCTTCTTTATATGACTGAGGATTATTTTTCTTTTTGCCAAGGGATTCCACCTTCTATGTGTTTTTTGTTGGCCATTATACCTTATGTGCCTTGAAGACTGGGCACTTGATACCAATTATACTTGATCTTATTAGACGCATTTTCGATGTAATTTATTTATTTTTATACAATATTTATAGACCAATATCCCATGGTGATAAGCCCACTGTACTCCATCCTTATTTTATAGGTTCATTGCAGCACACCCATTTTTCAACTTGAACGAAGTGGACTATATCATATACACATATATACATGTACATACACACACCCTGGTAGATGTTTTCTTTCGCGCTGACACTTAAGCATTATTTTATAGTAGTGAACAACTACAAAAGAATCTTAACATCTTTTCATTCATAGGGCGAGGTTGAAAAGATTTTTGATAAACTCAAGAAGTGTCTCGATGACAAGCAGGTACTCAAGGACCACGTCTTCCGATATTTTGCCATAAGCAACTTGGCCGAAGACGATGAAGAGTTTGCTGAAATAAAAAGAGCAATCGAAGATTTGTGCGGTTATAGCAGCGACAGTGAGGCTACTGTTCAACATCTTCCAGTGAGTTGGATTAAATTGGAAATGAATTTGGCAAAGAAGAGTGAAGAAACACCCATCATAACTATTGAAAAATTGATGGAAATGGCGCAAAGGGTAGGACTCCCTGATGGAGAATTACAAGAAAAATTCATTCCTTACCATCACCGTCAAGGCGACATCCTACACTTTAATATTGATGGACTGGAAAATGTCGTCATAATAGATCCACTTTGGTTAGCAGTTGTGTTTTCTGCCATCATGACCCCGGCCAGCATTCACTCTGGATGCAGTCGCGGCCATTTCCTGAAAGATGAGCTTGAAAGAGGAGTCCTAAAAGAGGAGGTATTTGATGAGTATCTAAAAGAATTCAAGATAGCCGAAAAAAAGACTGAAATCATTCGACTTATGCTGCATTTCGACTTGATGTTAGAAATATCCCAATCAGTTGAAAACCCTCTGCCTGGACATGGAAAAAGAAGATTCGTCGTACCCAGTATGCTGGTATCAAATAACAGTGCGAATGAGACAAATCCGCAGAAATATTTGCTTATCGCATTCCCTCATATTCTGTTTCCTACTGGGTTATTTCATCGTCTGATCATCCGTCTTCTAAGGAAGTATAAAGCTCAGCAATATAAAAATAACATCCCAGTTGTCGGGTTTGACAGCGCCTCCTTCCGTCTAGCTGATAAACAGTCGGTGCTGCATCTCGCCATTGAAAATAAGGCCATGAAGTTGTTTATAACTAATGCCACTGGACTCCCTCCAAAGACTCACGTGTACTCAGAAGCAAGAAAAACAGTTGAAAACGAGTTGACAGTCCTTCGGGATACATACTGCCCCAGGATGCTTTTTGGCTACAGCATCAGGTTAAAAAATGACGGACCCAATATTCCAATAAATGCGCTTGACGTCCAAACGGACGATTCCATATGTGTGTATGTGGAGAACTCTGAAGTTTCGGTAGATTTGAGGCCATATCGCGTTTGGTTTTCCGGTAAGCAGTTTGAAATATCACGTAATGTTGTTGTGAATAGACATTAGGCCCTATGCTATATATAATATAATAGAACATGCATTCCGTGTTAATTGGTTCACAGATCTTAACATTTTAAAAGATCCCTGATTACACAACATGTAATATCTGAAACCAGATAACATTAGAAAATTTAGGTTTGATTAGTTTTAATTTTCAAAATAATTTATCTGGAAAAAACTATTAAGGATATTCCTGTTTTGTACATATATTTTTGAAAATATTGATTTTTTACACAAACACTAATGACATACAATGTTAGTTATTTCTTATGAATACTCAATTGTATATGCAATAGACTAAAAAATGCTCAATTAGAAATTAATGGGAAAATTTATATTAATCTACCCTTCTTAAATGAACTAGGTACTTGTTTGTAACATTTTTATTAGAAACAAAAGGCAAGATATCGTATTCAGATTTTACTCAAACATGTTATGAATTAGCAACCTGTGATAACAAGTCATTAGAAACATGTCAGTGAGAAATAAAACCAAAATTAACAATCATTTCGGAATGACACTTGGATTTTGAAAGGAAAAGTACGGCGTATGATAGGACATAAAGTATTTTGATGGGGCCCTAGAGGCCAAGTGCCAATATATAATATATATTAGGCCAATCTTACCATTTTAGCAGCCCCAGAGAATCAAGACCGTCGTGCAGCCAAGTGTCCTGAAAACGAGGCAAGTTATGAGCTTTTAAATACGTTTGTGTCTAAGTACTGCGCAGCAAACACAGAACGTTATTATAATGTTACCATATCTTATGTCCAAAAAGATTTTGGTAACATTATAGGAACGTTCTGTGTTTGCTGACCGTTATCCTCACTTGCACAAGTTTTAGTAAGACCATGAAATTAAATGTACTTGTATATACACAATCATAAGAAAAATTGGATACACTTAGGCATAAATGCGCACTTTTCACTCTGTTACACTTGCTATACGACCTCCGATATTTCTAATGATAAATTTCACATAAAGACAGTGTATGTGTGCGTTTCAGTACAAGAACAATTCCGAACCGAGAGGTCGTGCACTCATTATCAACAACAAGACATTTTCCGTGGACTGGCTTCCAGAACGTGATGGTACCGAGGTAGATGTTGTTGCCTTGAGGAAACTATTCCGTTACCTCCATTATGAGACAGACGTTATCAGTAACCTGACTGCAAATGTAAGTTATATTAATAAGATCATGGTGTGTTTGTAATAAAACGAACATCGTAAAAGCCAAATGGCTTT